AAAGAAAATGCAATAAAAAATCTTTTTTTAAAAAAAAAAAAGACCAACACTATGATGGGGATTATTAGGAAAGGAATTGAAAACAAATCAGCCAGTATCATAATGCCCCTGTGTAAATCAATGGTGCAACCTCATTTGGAGTACTGTGTGCAGTTCTGGTCAACACATCTCAAAAAGGATATTATAGTATTGGAAAAAGTGCAGAAAAGGGCAACTAGAATGATAAGGGGGTTGGAACACTTTCCCTATGAAGTGCTTGGAGCTCTTTAGCTTGGAGAAACGATGGCTGAGGGGTAACATGATTGAGGTTTATAAGATTATGCATGAGATAGAGCAGTTAGAGGAAGAAGTACTTTTCTCCCTTTCTCACAATACAAGAACTCATGGGCACTCAATGAAATTGCTGAGCAGTCAGGTTACAACAGATAAAAGGAAGTACTTCTTCACCCAAAGAGTAATTAACACATGGAATTCACTGCCACAGGAGGTGGTGGCGGCTACAAGCATGGACAGCTTCAAGAGGGAATTAGGTAAGCATATGGAGCAGAGATCCATCAGCGGCTGTTAGCCACAAGGTATAGATAGGAACTCTCAGTCTGGGGCAAGTGATGTATTCTTGGTGCGGGGGGGGGGGGCAACAGTGGGAGGGCTTCTAGTGTCCTGGCCCCACTGGTGGACCTCCTGATGGCATCTGGTATTTTTTGGCCACTGTGTGACCGAGTGTTGGACTAGATGGGCCACTGGCCTGATCCAACATTGGCTTCTCTTATGTTCTTATGACTGCAGACCCTAATATTCAAAATTTTACTTATAGGCCAACAGACCCTATATGATTACATTTACCTTGTGACAGTAAGGTGCAAGTGTTTGAAATTGTAATTGGGTGGGTCAACAGTGGGAGGGCTTCTAATGTCCTGGCCCCTGATGGCACTGGTATTTCTGGCCACTGTGTGATACAGAGTGTTGGGCTGGATGGGCCTTTGGCCTGATCCAACATTGGCGTCTCTTATGTTCTTATGTTCTTAATGATTACAAATTATTCACTTGGCAAGATTTCTTGCTGCATTACTTGATTTTAACCACAACACGTAAGAGAAAGCAGACACAACTGTGCTGTCAATGAAATACCGAAATATAATGTTATTAGCCCTAATAAAACAAAGTTTGGGGATTTTTTTGAGCATTTTTTTTTTGTTTCAAACAACCAAAACACTGGAATAAAGTAAGCCCAACACTGGAATAAAGTAAGCCCAACAACTGATTCATTTAAAATGTAGATTATTCCAAGTCAAGGAAAATTCTTTCCAGTAAGCTACACTGAAGTTGACAACTGAGTCCTAAACATGATTAATCATTTATTATCCCAGCCATTTGTCAAACATACACAACTTTACAGTGACTTTTACATTTGCCTAAATGATAGTAACAAAACCAAAATGACTTGTACTGCAGTCCTAAACAGTTACAACCTTCTAAGCCTATTGACCTTAATGGATATAAGAAGGATACAACTCTGCTAAGGATGGCACTGCCATTAAGTTTCAGATTTGAACTCAAGCCTCCCTATTGTACATACAGCCTCCTATCCACTCAACTATACTGGCTTCTTCAGCAATGTAAGATTAGCATGGCAGTTAATCAAAGAAAGAGAGAAGGATTTAAAGCTTATTGCTAGAATTCTCCCTGCTCAACATTATGATAAATTCACATTCTTTCCTTTGTTAGTAACAGTTTCGGGGGTTTTTTGGGGGGGTTGAATTGAAATCCCAAGGAAAACAATTTTCAACTATTTGAGTTTCTTCGGTGTTTTAACAGTTCAAACAGTTCTCTGGCAGCCAAAAGCTGATTGCCCAAGGTAAGCATCATCTACTCAGCCAGATAAAAAAAACTTATTTGCAACCTGAATGTTTATGTTTGCATTCTTCCTTGGAAGCAATTCCACTGAACTCAGTGGAACTTACTCCAAACCACAGGACTGCATCCTTAGCTGGAAAAAAATACCCTATAAATTATCGTACAAGAGAAAAAAATAGAAAGATAATGTGCAATTCTATGGGCATGTAAGCCCCAGTGAGTTCAACAGGGCTTCTTCCAAGTACTTGTGCGTGAGAATTCAGCCTTAAACTACTAAGCAGGTTTAGCAGTAGTGGTTGAGAAATAACATCACCATGTAGTTAATATAAAGGTATTCTTTCCTACACTAAAATTTAGACAGACTGTTATTATATACACATGAATTAAACAGTTTCTTACTTGTCTGTGGTTGGAGCATGTTCTGGCATTCACTATTCTATCATCTATGCATTGCCAAAACTCTTTTCCCTAAATACTTAGTCAGTTTTAATAACAACAACAAAAACTTTAAGCAAACACATTTCAACCTTCTGTATCCAACCTCAATTAAATACAAACTGAAACGTCCAAGCTAGTCTGCCTTTGTGCTGACAAATGCATTTCACAGCCAAAACAGCTCTCTTTGTAATGATATATTCCAAGCGTAAAAGACAAACTATATTGCTACTGTCTGGTGGGAGATCTAAGAGGTGGCTCATTTTTTCCAAAAGAAAATGCGACAAAGCCGTATAAAACATTACCATAAATGGCAGCAAACTAATGTAAGAGCTCCTCCTGCTGTTTATACTTCAGAAATGGCCTCATTCTTCTTAGGCTTGGAATCAGAGATCCTACTATACAAGCAGAAGGAACTTCTGCCCATGTTAGTTTCCTCCTTGCCATCTGCAGCTTCCTGTGACAACTCCCCCCGCCCCCCCAAAAAACCCCAACCTGGCTACATTGAGTTCAGAAGGCCATCCTGCCTTGAGCCCAAGAAGACAGGGCAGGAGATAAATGTTTTAAATAAATGAAGTAAAGATCCAGAGTGGCTTCTCAGCCGCCTGGAGAAGGGGGGAGAGATTAGTGCCTCCCCATGAGCAGCTATGCTTTTGGCTAATCCAGCAGGATCTAGGAATCCGTCTTAATCTTGACAAAAGGAATTTTAAACCATACCAGGGCCAAATACACTAATGAAATGGAATATTCCCTCAATGTTCTCACTCAGACTAGTGACAATACAGCAACTCTATACACAGAAGGAGGATGAAAAAATACTAAGGAAGCAAGTAAGTCAATTTACTAATCAGTATACATATATTTAGGACTGTACTGCAAAATTTTTATAACACACTGAAGTGGCAGTTCAATTCAGGGCACTGCTGGTACAGAAGCAAGACAACACAGTTCCATTCAGGGCACTGCTGGTACAGAAGCAAGTTTCTCAAACTATAATCAGTAAAGTGAATGGTAAGAAGCAGATGTAAAACGCCCTATCAAATACAGCAGATTCACAAACCTTTATAGCACAGTCATTTTCTAAGCAAAACAGGGTTGCACTGTTGTTCATCGAGTGGTAACCTGTGCAGTCACACATGGGTTCTACACATGCGCAGGCCTGCCGCAGAGAGGTTTTCGAAGCTATAAAATGCCAGAGGATGCTCCTTTCCCCTCCCCCATGCTGCTTTGCCACCTTTTCCCAGCATGCTTAGGTGGGGGAGGAGCAGCCTTCCCTCACTTCTCTCTCTGCCACCTCTGAGAGAGGTACACTTTCATGAAGCTCCTTCTATTGAAGACCTTTCCAGTGAGGAAAAGAACAAAACATGAACCTAAAAAGACCAGAACTGGTCAATATTTAAAGAAAAGTTATATTACAGAGCTAGGCCTCAAAAACAGGGCTCATGACATACTTTCAAGAACTGTATGATCTTGTGAGGCTAAAACCCTCACATTAAACTGGCCTATACTTGGGGAAAAAAACTCTTGGAAGATTTGTATTACAGAGCTAGGCCTTTGTATTACAGAGCTAGGCCCAGGACACTCTTTTTGAGGAGTGTATATCCGGCAAGGCAAAAATACTGCACACCAGATCTGTCGATACTTGAAGGTAAGTCATGAAAAATGTATATTTCAGGGCTAGGTCTTAGAAAATGTGGCCCAAAGTGCCCTTTTGAGTAAATGAACGTCCTGTGGGACCAAAAATTCCTCACTTTGGGGATTAATCTCTGTATCTGTTTCCATAATCACAAGACAACAAAGAATGAGCACTCCACATTCTCGATGCTTGCAGGATTCTGCTGTTGTACTTCAACAGGTCTGAACTCTTCAGGAAAAACACAAACCTGCTCTTTTCCTGCTCAGGATCCAAGACTTTATGTACAATTGATCCCTAGATGGACAGGATACCATCTTCACTTATACTATGAACTTGTGCAAGTTGACTGCCCTTTACAGCTCAATGCTCATTCCACTTGAGTACAATTGGGTTCTGCTATGAGTCACCAGGGTCCCTCCAGAGATGTAGAACATTACCCCATGGATATTGATGCCATGAAAGATGCAGAAGTTGGAAGAGTGGAGCTTCAGTCATTGCTCAACTCAGAGTTCACACCTACCTTCCACGACTTAGCAGATCAGCTTGCTAATCTCCCAAGCGGGAATGCACAGGTACCACAGCGATGAGAACAGGGTTGTGCCTACCTGTAACTCTTGTTCATCGAATGGTCACCTGTGCAGTCACACAACCTTCCTGTGATCTCCGTTGAATATAACGAGTAAGGCTAATTCTCTCCAATGGCGGCAGTGAGGAACTGAGGGAAGGGTGCTCCTCTCCCTCCTAAGCATGCTGGGAAAAGGCAGGAAAGCAACATGGGGGAGGGGAAAGGAGCACCCTCTGGCATTTTTGAGTTTCAAAGAACATCTCCACAGCAAGCCTGCGCATGCGCAGTACCCATGTGTGACTTCACACGGGTAGCAGAATGATTCATACATGTTTTGCTTAGGGAGCCAAAGCACTTTATCCTAATATTTCATTTTTTTTTAAAGTTAGAGGTTCCATGGTTTTTGACAAAGATTTCTTCCATGGATGCGAAGGAACGGCAGACCTACCTCTCAGCACGCAGGACACCACTGTAGTATGGGTGATCCCAAGGCATTAGTTCCTGAAAATACAGGAATAACGGAAATCAAGTGAAACAAGTCAAAACACGCCTTTCATCAGTGTCTGCATAATGTATAGCCACCTTAGAAATCATGCTACTAACTCGTTGTATGCAGGAATACTCTTGACAAATGGAAGCTTCCTGTGTGGGTGTGTGCATGTGTGTGTATACAACTACATGGCCCATGCTAAAGTTTACTGCAAAGCCCAGTGATTAAATCCACAATATATATAAACCCAACAAATTGTCAGCAATACAATCTGTGGTTTTAAAAAAAGATAATAATCCAGTTAAACACAGCAGCTAAAATCCAGTTTTCTGGCAAAGAAAAAGCCCCCTGAAAAAGGACAGATTTAAACAACCTCCTTTGACATGCAACCTATGGCTCCTCTAAGCCCCGTTCCCTACGGCATCTGTTCCAGGAAATGAGTAATTTCTTTCAAAATTGGGATAATTTCCTCACTACTACAGGTTTAGGATTAAACTGAGTTTTGTTCCCGCCCACCCAAGATAACAAGGACTGGCTAAGAATCAACAGCAGTGGGGAGAGACAACCCTACATGCTCAGAGTTACTCTGGTGATTAAAAGAGATATATGATAGCTCTATAGTATTTATGTGAGATAGGGGTGGGGAGCAGGGCATAAAATAGCCATGTGGCTCTTTTGGTGTATGAGAATTACAAATCTGGCTCTCTGTGATCTAAGACGTGATCACGGCCACGGCAGAGCTTCCTGCCTATCTCAGGCTCTGGCTCCAGATCAGGACCTCGGCTTTATCAACTGACTGTGGGGACCCTGGGAACACGATGCAGATAGCTACAGATGCCATGGCCCATTCTGACGCTGACAGTCTCAAACTACAGTAACTTGACCTGAGCTTTCAGAGAAGGGAAAACTTACGATTTATACGAAAACAAATGATATAGTCTAAGACCATCACTTGTACTTATTTAAACAACATTTTAGTCAAGGGTGTTTGAAGTTCCAAATCATGCTTCATGAGGCAAAGCTAGGTAAACAGCCTTGCAGCAATGCCATGATGTGAAAAACCAAGGTTTGTGAACAAAAGCGCTGCAACCAGCCAGCCAGACACATTAGTTTTTTCAAATCTGAACTCTGCCTTTTCAAGCCTGCACAAACTAATTGAAGCTAATGTTTAACATACTCAAGAGAGCACATTACATTTTCCATCTTAGGTTTAGCCTGTTACATAAATCACTGTGTTAAACCAATATCTTTCCTTTCAGCACTTATTTTGCTTTTGAGAAAAGAGCTTTGAAACCCAATACTGCTGCAAAATGAAGCCAAATTACATCAATAGATAGTTTCCATTATTTCACCTATTTCCTCACATTAGAATTCAAGATGAGAAAAATAAAGGCACAAACTAAACTTACTGATTTCATAGGATTTAGTTTCATTTTCATGCCGTTCATCATTTCAAAATCATCTAGAGTTCTACAAAACAGTAATTTTACCATTAAGCTTTATCAAAAAGCTGTTTGATAAATATGGAATATAATTCTAAGAAGCTATTACACAAACATAAACTTACTCAAAAGAATCCTAACAAGTGTGCCAGAATGAACTGTATTTTTAATGCTCTTTCGCATTAGGGAATAAGCGATTCGGGGAAATTATTTGGAACCATTCTCTCTTTCTATCATGGGAAAATAACTGACAACTTGTAAAATTCTCTTCTTTATGCTTTAGTAATAGATAGAAATGTGTAATATCTTCTCATGGGTTTAGATCCACCCAAGATTTCCATTGATGGAAAGGATTTCTATGTGCAGTTCTTGACTTCCGCCAACCTACTGTGGCTTCAAATGCTCCCCCAAATGATACTCTTGGGCAAAAAGAAATCCCCAGGAATACCTGGAAAGGAGTAAGCAGTCTGCACATCAGTGTACGTGTGTGTGGGGGGGAATCAGTGTGTGCGAAGGTATCCTTCTATCTGCAAAGATTCTCCCTGGGATCCAAGCCACTGTCTCCCAAAGACATAAAATTCAACTTGACAACTAAAGGTATTTTCTTATATCATATTATTTAAAACTTTTATCTCAAAGCAAGGTTTTCCTTTTTAATAAACTGAAAAAGGACTCACCGTTGGAATAATTTATCTGAAAGCTTTACAAGAAATTGCATTACTTTCTCTAAAAAACAGAAGAAAAAAAGGTATAGGTTCACTAGATGAATGGAATATTTAAGAAATAATAAAAATAATAAACAGGAGCAAACATCACTTAAAATATGCTAACCTACTCAATAATGAAGCATAACTCAGGAGTTAAATTATAACTAATAAGGCTGAAAGTAATAATGATCTGTTCTGATAACCAAGCAAAATAAAAATACTAATGTATGCTTATGACTATATTGGCGAGAGGTACTGATGAGAGGTTATTTTAGACCTCATATAAACCAGAACTGATCAGAGACTGAATTTTTTAAAACAAGGGTTTTTTTAAAAAACTGAACCATAGTAGTTAGACTGCAGTGCAGTAGTATGCTTGCTAAACTAGCCAGTTTCCTGGGACTTAAAAAAAAATCAGTAAATTGAGAAGAACAATTTTTAATAACTAGTCATGAGCAATCATATTAACAATGAACAGGGGTATGAATGAACATTACTTCAACATAATGATTTCACTGAGTCCTGTTTCCATGTAGATAAATAGTATCTAGATGTAATTTACTCTAAATATTTAAAGTAGACATTTATACCCTGCTTTACACCCCAACAGAGATTCAAAGCAGCTTACAACAACATCATTCTCCTCTCCTCCATTTTATCCTGTGAGGAAAGTTACACACAGAGAGGGACTAGCCCAAGATCACCTGGAGAGCTTCCAGGGCAGAGAGGAGATTAGACCCACTATATCACACTGGCTTTCTTAACTGTTAACAGTGCATAAAGTATCATATCGATGCAGTCAAAATAATCTATTGGAGCAAAAGTGTGTTTTTAGTGATGTGCACCATATCTGCACCGCACACATTTAGCTCCTCAGTCTGCAAAGTCCCGCCTTCTCTTCCTTAAATGCATATAATGTTACCTGGGGTTTTGGCCATTGTGCCCTGAAGAGCCCGGTGAGCAAAGGTGTCATAGCCAACCAACTGGGCCAGAAGGTTTCTGCTAGTAAGCAGTTCCTCTAAACAGTGCAACTGCTGAGCGTTTGGGAACAGAAAAACCTTGTACGCCACTTCCCGTACCTAATATTAAATTCAAATGAAAAACAAGGAATCAGCATCAAGGTGAAACGGCACTACTATCAACACAATAGTTATGTTACAGAGAATCAATACAGTATTGCCAAATTGTAAATTAAGAATATTTACTTCTTTCTTTATTCCATTTAATCCCACGCCATTTTATCATCATTAGTTCCATGGCAATATATGCAATGTTAATATAGTATTTGCAAATGATGGGGAGGATGCAGCCTCTCAGATCAGATGCTGAGGTCACCATGCACACAAAGGGACCCCAGAGAATGGGCACAGTGCCTCTACCATCCCACCTCCAGAGCTCAGGGATCAGTGCATGCGTGGATCACACCTGTCTTTGCCACAGCTATGCTGAATCATAGCAATCTTGAGTCAGAAAATCCAGCTCATTCACAGGATACTCCTACTCAGAATGCTTTTACAGAGCTGGGCTGCGCCTGGCAGAGATTCTATGCTGCTAAGCAATGGTCCTACAGCCTTAGCAAGGGCTGTCAGACTGTTCCCAGGGAGGCAGGTGATTAGAAGCTGGAAGGGACTGATAAGTTCAAAGACAGGCAAAGGGCTGGAAAGCTGCTGCCAGTAATGGAAAATGAAAATCATCTATCTCCAGCTCTTAGGACTAAACTACACACGGCAGCACATCTATGTCTTTAAGCCCTTGCCTGTCCCAAATCATGCAGCAGGGATGAAGATCCAATTTCAAGAGTAAAAGGGAAAGGGGCATAAACGCTTCCTCGGGCCTGCCACTTATCCCAACACAGCTCCCCCCACCCACCCATGCATGGACAAGGTGGGTTGAGAACTGCCCTGCTCATTTTTATTTTATTTTACATACGGGCAATCTAGAAGGAAACAAGAACTTTATTTTTAATCATATGCAAAAGACTTATACAAAAATACAAGGTGGAACACAGAAAATAATTAAATATTGTATGAGGTACTTGAATAGACAATTTAATGATGTAACAGAACCCCCAGTTTATGTGTGTATGTTTGTGTTGTGTTTGTTTTCTACAATAATTTTTTTATAAAAAGAGAGAGAGAGAGAGAGAACTGCCCTGCTCACATGTTTGTTTCAGTCTTAAGAAACAGAGCTCCCTCCGCTGGTTTATAGATGACTGAGGCAGAGTCAAGTTCAGACACCCAGGTCTAGAGCTGTTAGTATGAGCCTAACTAATCCCGAATTATATACCAGAGACATTTAAGAACCAGATACACATATACATACATGTAATAACTATGTCTAGAATTTTATATGCAAAATATTGGAAGAAGGAAGAAGTCCCATCAAAAGAAGAAATAATCTACAAGTTATTGGAAGAATGGATAAACTGACTTTACAATTACAAGAAAAACAAGAAGAAATCTTTGAAAAGAACTGGGCAAGAGTTTATAAATGGTTGGAGGATTATCTTAAAAAATCTTAAAAATAGGTTATAAACTCTCAACATGAAAACTAAAAAACGTAACATGTGTATACAGTACAGATTCCATTTAGATAAATGTAAGCGAAAGTAATGAGTACAGACTTCAGGCTTGTTGCTTGCTGTCTTTTCTTTATTGTATATGTTATTCTTTGTCTTTTTATTCTTTTTGAAAAATAAAAATCTTTATAAAAAAAAACACCAATCCCAAATTATGTACAATATAAAGGCGTCTGGTCATGCTGCCGCAGCAAATTAATTTGCCCACCATAACATGGAAGGTAGAACATCACAGAAATCAGTCTAGCATTTTCAAAACAGACAACAGGATTCAGCAATTATAATGCCCACACATAATATATTTGATGCTATAATATCCTTAAAGTACGCATACCAGATCATCTGGACTGTCTGCATTGAGACCACCTATTTGGATGTAGTTGCCTTCAACTGTGAAGTTATGACGAATATGTTCTGGTAAGACATGTTTATCAATTCTATTTGGAAGGTGTGATCCCATGAGAAATTCATTACATAAGTCCAGGATTTTGACATTGAGATTGACTGCCTTCTTGCGCTGCAAATGGAAAGCACACAAGGTAAATATATTTATTCTGGATCTAAACAGTTTAAACTTCTAAATACTTGGGGGGGAAGTCATGGGAGCAATAAATCAGTACAGGCAATCACTGTGAATATTCCCATACATAAAGCTTCCTGTGAAACTGACAGTGCAGTCCTAAACAGAACTGCAACCTTCTAAATTGAAGTCAATGGACCTATAAAGTATAACTCTGATCAGCGGCACTGGCAGCTACAGCAGAAAGAAGGAATCAGCGGAAACTGCCTTTCTGTTTCTCTTCAAGCACTTGCTCCACGGACAGAACAATTCACACCAGAAGGGAGGAGGTGATTTCCTCTGATTTCCCTTGGTGGAGGGGTGGAGGACACTGCAAGGTGATGGGAGAAAAGGGACAGATCCATTCTGTGGCATCCTTCAATTCAAAGTTCACAGCACTCAGCCCACAGATGTTATCACACAACTAAAAGATAATCTCTCCATTATAATGGAAACAATTACCTTTTCTTCATCCAAGTGAATACCACTGATCTCAAAATCAAACAGGAAAAGTTCTGCCACTCGTCTAAAAGAATAAAATCCCATTAGGGGAAAAAAATTGTTACACTGTTGTTTTGTCCCACTTTGTCCCATTTAAAGACAGGTTACATTTTGCCGGCAAACTATGCAATTGCTAATGCATTTGGAACCACCAGTCTTATTTCCACTGACTGGATAGAACAATATAGTGGCCTGTATCCCACCACACCATTAAGCAAAGTGTAAGTAGCCATCCTCTAACTTCTGTGGCTCTTCTTCCAACAGAAGTATTACGTTTAGATTGTTAATGTGCATAATGAAAAGCAGCAGATTCATATTGCTAAGTTTGGTAGCAGCTCACTTTACAGCTTGATCCTACACACGTCTACTCGAAAATGACAGTCAGTTCAGTGGAGCTTAACTGTGTCAATTGATTGCACACTAATCTAAAGATAACTACTACATATGCATAACAAATATCGCACATCACTCATTCCGAAATGCCAGATGATAGAACAATACCATTTTATAATACGCAATATTCAGTTATATTCAAGAATCATGAGAATGTCAGTTCCCATTAAGAAATCATGTTTCTAGCTCTGACACTGACTACCTCTAGGGGTTAATCAATGTTTCCCAAACAGAGGTATAATATTCTGCTGTTGGAAAATATCAGTTTGGCTCCAAGTACAGATTGCAGGCAAAAAAGGGTGAATATAGGACTCAGGGGTTGATATTGTCTAATTTGCTTAGAGAAATGACTGCCTGGTGCTACTGAAGAGAAAAAGTAGTACATTGGATCCATCATCAGGGCAATTAAAACAACCAAAAGAAGGAGTTCCACTAAGGTCCCTTTAATTCCAGAGATGAAACAAGTACTAAGACTTCATGATGGGGATATCTATCAAAGGAGCAATCTGACACAGGACAGTTAAACTCTCATGACATGCAATGGCACGTGAAAGAACAGGCTATCCAATTACTGTGAAAGTATTCACCCGAACTGAAAGACTGCATGAGGGCTCACAGATATAACATATCTGAAGTTAGTTTCACAACATTTTCAAACTCTATTGTAATGAGGTAATGCTGACAAGAATGGCCAACATCTCACAGTACTATGAGGATTATTGTCACTGTGCTAAAATTAATAATACGTACCTGGTATCTGGATATTCCCCCCCCAAAAAAATCACTATTTAAAACACTACCAAATGCTAATATAGCCATAACCAACACAAAATACGTGAGAATAGCAATTTAAAACAGCAAATACTTGCTGCCAATGGATTGGAGCCAAAGGGGGTGTTTCATGGGCACAGCAAACTACAATTTGTGGAGGAAGGAAAGGCAACTTCTGCCAAGGGGTATAAATGGAATTAATAAATAAATTCTCTCCTCCTACGGCAGACCCCACGTTTGTCTCCCGCACTGTTTCTGAGGGGGCTTCCCTTCCCGAAGGGGGAGGGGTCAATGGGCTGTTCTGCAAGTTTCACTTTGCTGGTGTCCAAAAGACGAGGTGCTGATGTAGCTTTTTAAGATGAATGGTTTATGCAAACTGCACAGTGCAGTAGTTAAAGCTTGCTAGCTTGGATTATGCTTTTTACAACCGCTGTCTGCCCACCACAGTCTGCCCACATAAAGAATACTAATGCTCACTTGTTCTGAACTTTGAACAAAATTACTTTCATATTCTACCAAACGTATACTGGTGACATTTTTTTACAAAGTTCTACGATCTGTTTTTGCCCAGGGCAAAAAAAATACTGTTCAATTTTATTTTGAATGGTAGCTATGAAAATGCCATAGAATTAAATTAAACACACATTGAAGTAAACGTATTTATAATTAGGATATCAGAATTCCCTTAGTATAAACTAATTGTTTTTGCCATAATCCATAATACAGAAAAAGGCATCTTCCTGTTTCCACAAAGATTGCAGAATGCATGCTGCAGCATTCAATAGACAACATGCTGTACTCATTACGGTAGTTTTTGTTGCTATTAAGCTTGCTGTCTGTGGAATGCTACAGTTAAATCAGTACTAAAGTGACACAATAAATAAAACATACTTTTCTACCATAGTGCCAATGTTTCTGCAGGCATCTTCTGCAGCTTCTCTGAAAGCAAGATTAGGATGAGCAATTTTCACAAAGTCAGCCTGATGTAGTAGAAAAAGAAAGATCAACAATGACAAGAAAATGTTGGTTTGGCATTTACATGGAAGTCTAAAATTCTACATTAGTTCTCAGAGACCTACACAGTCATATAAATTTCTTTCTTTCTTTTAAATAGTAATTCTTTATTAATTATTATGTTCACAAAAAAAGATTGATCCAAAAGTAAAACTATTATAACATTATTGACCGGTAGATACTCCCAGAAAACCATCTTAACTTTTCACGGAACCACAGTCTATGCAGAAGTTTTCCTCTACTTTTCCTCTTTTTATTGGGATCTCCTAAGGATCGGTTCTTGACCCTTTCTTTATACACTGGCATGTATACTACCTTAGGTTGGAGGAAGTTGTTTCAGCCTAAGGAGCCTTCCTTCAATTTAAGCAGTTCTTCCTTCTGTCAGTGCTGTACAGTGGTTAGACTGCTGGACTACATGTTTACCATTATGTATCTCCCACATGTGTTTATTTTACCACATATACACACACTCACTGGAAAAATCAGATAGTTTCTTTCAAACAATGTTAGGAATTAGGACATTACACAAATTAAACGAAGAACTTTTGACTCCTAGTTTATTCTTACATGGGCCTCAAGCTTTCGTCAAAATGACCAGAACCCAGAATGAAAGTAATCTATAGTGCGAGCATTAAAACAATAACAGAGTTTCTTACCCTCCCCACACCGCGGAAAACCAAATGGGAATTTTAATCCTAACCATGGAAGAAAATCCTACTGATAAAAGGTAATTTCAAAATGATAAAAGATGTCTTACTAGATCAGCAACTCTACACAAGGAATCTGAGAGCTGATCAAAGATCATTACTATCTCTGGCCCAGGAGGAGCAGCACATGCTTTCTTTACTAGTCGTTCTGTTTCTTGCAATGATTTTTCTTGAGCTTCTTGAAATCCCTCTGGACAACTCAACTCTGGAACACCAAACAGACCCTTTTAAAAAAGAGAGAAAAGAGACAATAGGTCCAAAATAAGAAAGAAGACATCCTTTACATTTTGTTTGTCTTTTTCACAGCCTCCAGATTGTAAACCTGATTTTTACATTTATACAGTCTTGCAAGTCACTTATACAAACATGCAAACTTCTTAAAGAGGCTAACAATTTCAGTTACAATGCTGCCAACCGAAAGACAGCTATGTTGTGTTCATTTCAGTTGCAGATTTGAGGACTATTTCAGTGAGGTGGCAATATGTTTCAATAGGGATAACTACATAAGAGTTGTTATTGTAAGGATAAAATGGAGAAAGGGAGAACAATGCTGTAAGTTGCTAGGTCCCCAATGAGGAAAAATGCAGGGTATAAGTACATAAATAATCTAATGAAACAGACGGGCAGTAGGTTCAGGGTGGGCAAAAGAATATTCTTTCTTTCTTTCCCCCCACGTGGGGCTCAGGGCAGTTAACAACAATTTATAAATACATTCCAGTCGATGCAATAAATAATGGTTTGGGACCAGCAAGTTAAAAATTTAAAACAATAAAACAGCACTAATGAACTCTAATCAGATGGCATTTGAGCGTTATAAATCCTTGCCCAGAGTGGGGGGGGGGGGGGGAGCGGGGGGGCCGGGGTTGTGTTCTCTTACAGGCCCTGCAAAATTGCACTAGGTCCCACAGGGCCCTGGTGTCATTAGGCAGAGAGTTCCACCAGGCTGACATCAGGGCTGACAAAGCCCTGGCTCTGCTTGAGGACAGCTGGATATCCTTTGGGCCAGTGATCTCTAGAAGGTTCTTATCTCCATGAGGGGGTGTACCGGGAGAGGCGGTCCCATAGATATGCTGGTCCCAAACCATTTAGGGTCTTAAAGGTCAGTACCAAAACCTTGAACCAGATCTGGTACTCGACTTATGTATGACTTAGATACTTCTATTTATTTCTTTTATAAACCATTTACACAGAGAGTGAGTGAAATGTGGAATTTGCTGCCAGAGGATGTAGTGATGGCCACAGGAATAAACAGCTTTAAAAGAGGATCAGATAGCTTTATGGAGAATAAGTCTATCAATGGCTACTTAGCCGTGGTGGCTGAGGGGAACCTCCACATTCAGAGGCACTAATCCTCAGAATCCCAGAGCATAGAGGCAAAATCAGGAGAGGGCCTTGGCCTGTATTCCCTGTTGCTGGCCATCCAGAGGAACTGGTTAGCCACTGTGTGAGACAGGATGCTGGACTAGATGGACCACTGGTCTGATCCGTCAGGGCTCTTCTTAGGTTCTTGATGGTTAGACCTGGATATCTTTAATGACTATATGACAAAGTATTCACTATGGGAATTATTCTCAAGATGAAATAGTCTCAAAAGGGGATAAATGACTGGAGGCCACACCATAGAACAGGTCTGGTCAGTTCCTGGCTCTAGATTGGAGACCTGGGACTCCTAATGTAAACTGTCTTGAATTCCAGGATGGAAGAAAGGCTGGGTATAACTGCAACAGACAGGCACATAAAAGCACAGGAACCTCACCCCCAGTGGAAGGTGGCAACCTTATTCAGATCAAGAATTATTCTGTCATGGAAGCCCTAACCCAGATCTGTAACAAGGGCAAGGCAAGTGAGGCACAATGCTCTGGGGGGGCACAGAAAAAGTATATAGGTAAAATAAACGTTGTGTTATTATTACTCTTATTATTTATGCATTTACTTTTTAACCAAAAGTACTACCACAAAGGAGTTGCGGTGGCTCAAGTGGTTAAGACGCTGAACTGCAGGCTGTGGAAGGTCAGTAGCTCAGCAGTTCGAGACCCGGGTGCCGCATGACGGAGTGAGCTCCCGTCTCTAGTTCCAGCTCCTGCCAACCTAGCAGTTGGAAAGCAAGACATTGCAAGTAGATAAATAGGTACCACTTCGGTGGGAAGGTAACAGCGTTCCTTGCGCCTTGGTGTTTAGTCATGCCGGCCACATGACCACGGAAACGTCTTCGGACAGCGCTGGCTCTTCGGCTTTGAAACGGAGATGAGCACCGCAACCCTAGAGTCGGACTCGACTGGCTTTCGAGCAAGGGAACCTTTACCTTTACCACCACGAAAGTATAGCGGGTGCAATCTTATATTCTTGCCTCCATGCAAAATTAGCTAGTTAGAGCTCTGCCCTAACCCCAGATACGTGCGGGCCCTTTATGACTTCAGCGGCGAGGGAAAGGCGCCCCGTGACCGCGTCCCGCTGAGGAGGTTCAGCTTGGGCTCCCCGGTCAGTCCGCCGACGGCACTTTTTTTCCAACGCGAGCTCCCGCGAGGGGAACAGGCTCCAAATGGAAGTGAACCTCGACGGCCTTTCTCACCGTTTTCCTCCCCAGCTCCCACCGGTGGTGCTGCGGCTGGTGCCGGGCATTGAAGGCAGCGCCCACCGGGGACCAGCTGGTGGTGCTGACCCATCGCTTGGCGCCGCAGCCGCTGGCCCAGCCCAGGCCGCTCACGGCGGTCCGCGCCACCCCCCTCCAGCCGGCCAGCATGGCGGAGGCGGCGCCGCTTAGCGGTGCTCCACAACCCCCCGCAGGGCTCTGCCGCCGGCGAAAGCGCAGCTACGCAAGGACCGGCGAATCGCCCGCCGCTGCCTCGCCGCTTCCGGGTTCAGGCCGCGTGAACTCTGACGCCGCGACCAGCCGGGAGGAGGAGCCTCAGCCGAGCCCGCTTCTCCCGCCTCCTCCCCTCCTTCGTGTGGCTCCCGGCGCTGGGCCGCGCGCGACGAAAGGGGCTCGCCTCGGAGTCATTTAAAGGGAGTCTCTGAATGAGGAGGAACTGGTTTGGCTTTCACGATCCAGGAGGACGCCTGGTCGCTGTTTCTTTGTCACGTTGTCTACTTGTCTACGCAGGCTATTATGAGGAGTCTCAGAAACTGCAGTGATGGGTCTTTAAAAAAACAAAAAACAAACAAACCACAAACAAACAGTTAATTTTTGATTTCACTCACCAATGATTGTCCGGTCATGGACCTCGCAGAAAAAACAAAAGCGGGGGGGGGGGGGGAGCATCTCTGTACAAATTTACTGTCTAAAGGGACAGAGGTTGTCGATATCCGTATTGGTTCAAAGCAAAAGAAAAAGAAAGAAACCGTGTAATTTTTTGTAGGAAGACGAAAATTCTATTACTGTTATTTAAATTACATTTGTTGGTCTTATTGGTTTTGTGTTTTGAATTTAGGGAAGCAGTAAAAGTGATATTTCTGATACATAAACTGTCACTGCAGCCCAGTTTAATCAAAAATAAGAAACTTCACAGAGGTCACTGGGATTTATTCCCAAATAAGTGTATATTAGGACTACAGTATTATTTTAAGTTTTTATCAAGATGGTTCCCTCCCACCACTCCAAAGTAGGTCTCACATTACATTTGATGCCATAGTTAACATTAAAAATTCAGTGAGCAGCAACTGTTTTGTTCTGCTGTCCCAAAGAATATGAAACAGGAGGTTCATCTGGTTGAACTCCCTGCTTTGTAACCTAAAGGTTTCTCTTGCTTGAAAGCTGGTGGAATCCGAATCTAGGGGGTGGTACTCATCTCCGTTTCCAAGCCGAAGAGCCAGCGTTGTCTGAAGACATTTCCGTGGTCGTGTGCCGGCATGACTTAAACGCACTCTGTCACGCGGCGCAAGGGTCTCAAACTGCCGAACTACAGACCTTCCGGTGTGCAGCTCAGCATCTTAACCTCTGAGCCACCGCGGTCCTGATTTGTAACCTACTGCTCCACTAAACTAAAGTTGGAAGCCTTCCTTCAAGGGAAGAACCACAAGTTGGAGGAAGGCCCCTTAGGGTAGAGGGACTTTCTCCACCGTAAGTGGGATACTGCTGTCTATTTCCTACAGTGGCCAAGAAAAACACAAAATGAATCGCTCTCTCTGCCCTATTGCAGCTGTCATTTAGAGTGGCATATTTCTTCCAACACAGCAAGTTGGAAACCTTCCATTAATTGGTTCTTAACCCCTCTTAAAGTCAGGTGCCACTGTCACAACGTGGCATGGCATTTGCATGGAAGCAAATTGAGTAAAAAACACGAGTGTGAAAAGAATAATTTATTTTGTCTCATGTTTCTGCTATGGATCCATTTCATTAAATGACCCCAGTACTGGTGTTAAGAGAATGCTGACAAAAAATTAACCACATTTGCCACACTATGTAGTTTTATTAACCTGAACAGAAGAGTGTGACTGTAAGATGAAACCCCCATAGTTTACATACATACCTTGCACCAATCTAAAGTGGTTCAGAACCTATAATTTTACCTGTTAGGAAATCCTTTTAAATTACTAGTTTTTTTCCAATGCACTTTACCAAGGAAATTTTATTTCTCACAGTTTAAATCTTGTATACTATGTAAGAAAGTAAAGAGGAAAAGTTGATTTTGAACATTAAAAATATCCTTTTTAAACTGAAGTAATTAAATCTGAGCTGCTTTCATGTTCCAGTAGCTGGTGCACTGTTAAGCACAACTTGATTGTAGTACCCAGGTCCATCAACCTACTAAATAAATTAACCTTCTTGTGTCTTTACTTGTTTCTGCCCTGTCTCCATTAGCATTTGAAAAACCCACTCATCAGCTTTAATCTTCTGCTGCAGATTTTCAGTACCTTTGAACATTAGGAGCAATTAGACCATGTTGGATTTCTTCTTTACATCATAGCATTAACGCAAATTAGAAAATGAATGAGAATATGTCATAATGCTTCCTTTGCTTCCTCCTTTCCTGATATTTAAATGCTGTTTTATTGTATGTCAATCAGCAAACAATTAGCAAGAAGAATTTATTTGTGATCACTTTTTTCTTCATAGGATTGTAGAATCATAGATATTAAAGATGACACATTTAAAAAATGAACAGCTTTCAAGAGATGCTATGTGAGATGGAAGTTGATATTTCAACTGCAGGATTTGCTTTGCACCTGTTAATTCTGACATACAGCTAATCTGTACTTGTTTTTGTACCTGTTACTTAAAATTTTCCAATGTGAATGAAAACAGATGGCCTTTTAGTTTAAATCCAGTTGTGTTTTACTGTGCAGGATTCATTAAACATGGATGATGATTTCATCCCAGATTTTGGAAGGATCAACAAAAAATCCCAGTTAATTTATTGAGAGGTATACTGACCTGGATCCCAGTCCTGAAAGCCTTTGTACTCTTGATTTCACAGGAACTGTGCATACAGGTTCCTGAATACACAACTGTGCTGGCCTCTTGACTGCTGTAGCATTAAAAGCTATACTGAAGGGAAAATCACACACACTAAATAATCCACTTCCAATCCAGTTTCAATGCACTTTCCAATTGGATTTTGCCATTTCACACAGTAAAATCCAGTTGGAAAGTGCAATGAAAGTGTATTGAAAGTGGATTATTTAGTGTGTGTGACCACAGCCTCGGTGTGATTTCTGCTGTCATTATGGCATTTTATTAATGGTGAAATGTTTGCCTCTGTGAACTCCTAAAGATACGGAAGCACTCAGAGTCTGGACCTCACAACCATAAACCATAATGATACATTTATTGTCTGTCTATAATTGCTCTATGTAGCAGCCCAAATAGACCAGTTTAGCCCAAGCTCATCAGAACTTGGAAGCTAAACAGGGATGGCCACGTTAAGTACTTGGATGGAAGACCACCAAGGAAGGCCAAGGGATGCTATGCAGTGGAAGGACATGGCAAACCATCTTTGCCCATCTCTTTGTCTTGGACACCCTGTGGATGTGGTCACTGTAAGTCAGCTGCGACTTGACGGCACATTATTCATTTAATTGCCATATAACCAAGAGTTCTTCCTCTTGTTCAATGTCATTTGCAATTAACTCTCTCAAGGTAAAGTTTCTACATGGAATTACAGTCCCATTTTCTACATTCAGGGAAGAATATAGACTAGTATTATCAATTTGCAATACAGAAACCTGTCTTTAACTTTCATTCTTCTCTTTCCTAGTTATTAATGGCTAGGCTCTACCGTCCACACCCATCCCACACTTGCTGAAGCAAATGGGTTTTGTATCCTACCCCAGAGCAAGCAGGGAAGGACACGAGTGACAGAACCTGGCAAGTAACAAGGTGGGGTGGTGAAGCTACAGCAACATCTCTTGCTGCTGCGAGATCATTAATGATACAAAGAATTCTCCATGTCGCCTCCTGTTAATAAGAATGAAGACTAGAGTTATAAATCTAAGTCGCCTTATTATGTAGTAAATCTGATTGAACTCAGTGGGACACTTGCAAGTAAACATGTTTACGATCAGGCTGTAAGAGAGATAGGCCCCATGTTCCAGCAAGTGTGTTAGACCATGGCCAAACGCTACTGTCAAGATTAATGATTAATAGCGGATCGAAAGGCACCTCTAGCTTCAAAAGCCATCCTTAACTTTCCACCCTTTGTGTGCACCCTGCAGAACTACCACTGCGGCCACTACTGTTCTCTACAAAGTGGAATACCTAACAGTTAGGTCACCCGGCCAGCTGTTAGGTTCATATTGGATGCCGGAAGATAGGATGAACCCAAGTGCTGCTCTGACCACTAGCAAACAGACCAACAAATGGTGCAGTTTTCAGTCATACTTGTGCTTAGATATATAAAAGTGGATTCTGTGACTGAAGCCATGCCTAGATTGGAAGGGTATTCTGGGTAGGGTTGCCAAATCGACTCACCCCTCGGAGCGGGGGAGCCTCGCTGGGGTCCGGGAGTTCTTGATGGACGCGTGCTCTTGATGGAGTGACGTGCTACGTGCTCACGTTGGGGGCGTGGCCCCCAACGTGAGCGACGTGGCTGCGTCACCTCTGGTAACGCAGCTTCGGGGGCGGAGTTCCCGCCGGGGCCTGATTCCGCCGCGGTGGAAATCGGGCCTCCAAAGCGGGGGATTCCCCGCCCCATTTGGCAACCCTAATTCTGGGGGTTGCCAACTCTGGCTTGGGAAATTCCTGGAGATCGGGGATAGTACCTGGGGAGGGCCAAGTCTGGGAGGCGAGGGAGCTCATCAGGGACACGATGACACAGAGTCAGCTGTTGAAGACTCTCATTTTCTCCAAGGGAACTGATCTCAGTCGTCCGGAAATCAGTCCTAATTCCAGGAGAACTTTGGGCTCCCTGCTGGCGGTTGGCAACCCTAGGTATATTCAGTCTGTTCAATAAGTATCCTAGGGTGAGAAAAATTCCTGGCTCTTGTGTTAGAAAATGCTTACGACAGGCAGAAATTTGTGTAAATAGTGATAGGATAGCTGGCTTCAGTTTCAATTTTATTCATGAAAAAATAGCAAAACAAATGCTGGGAATAACACAAACAGGATAATGCACAGATATTGCATTGTGACTGTCAGGGAGTTGTGAACATGCTACTGTGAAGTTTGCTTCCGTACTGATCCTGATACTGCCACTAGTGAGAATTAAGCAACAGGATATATGAAAATGACCTCAGGTCGTAGCACAGGCTCACGTGCTAAAGAGGGGGATAGGTTCAAGCATCTCTGTAGAAGTAGTACTAAACAAAAGGAAGCCAGTGAAGGTTGTGTCATCGTCTGGGTCTGCATACAACCCATTGTAAGTCTCCCCTCCGTGGGCTTGCAGCCACA